CCCCCCCCCCCCCCCCACGGGGGGGTGGGGCATATTCGGACGCCCCGCCCCCGGCGTCTGATGGACCCGCAGGGTTTCCAAAGGAGCTGGCGGTTGTTCCTGAGGCCTCGCTGCAGGGTCCAGCGGAGGCTCTGGCCGCAGCCTGGGATAAGGAGGCGGCCGGGGCCTTGGACAGGATCGTGCCTGTGCGGCCTCTCTTAGCCCATCATCCCCGGCACTCCCTGTGGTTTACGGAGGAGTTAAGGGAGCTGAAAAGGGCCAAGAGACGTCTTGAGCACCACTGGCGGAAAACTAAAAACGAGTCTGACCGAACACGGGTTAGAGCCACTATTAAGGCCTACCTCGTGGCGGTAAGGGTGGCGAAACGTCAGTATTTCTCTGCTCTTGTTGCATCCTCAGAGTGTCGCCTGGCAGCCCTGTTCAGCGGCGCGGACAGTTCTGAATGCCCCCGGGGGCCCATATAACACCGCTGTTATACGAGCTGCATTGGTTTCCGGTTTGCTTCCGGGCCCAATTCAAGGTGTTGATTATCACCTTTAAAGCCCTTCATGGCACAGGGCCAGGCTATCTGAGGAGCCGTCTCGCCCCCGTTATCAGCCCGCCCCACTCAGTCCGGCAGAAGGGGCATGCTGCAGACCCCACCCGTCAAGGAATTTCGACTGGTGGGATCTAGGAAGAGGGCCTTTTCTGCCGTGGCCCCCACTCTGTGGAGCAACCTACTACCCGAGGTGCGGTGTGCCCCCACTCTCATGGCCTTCAGAAAAGCGTGAAATCCTGCCTATGCCAGAAGGCCTGGGGGCCAGATGGGGGCTCGTGGGGTAATTGATTTTACTCCCGTGTCATCTTGAATGTTTTTAGTTTTTTGTTTTTATCGCTTGACTTTTTAATTAATTAATTTTAATGAATTTATATGGGTATTTATTTTTTAATTGTTTGTGGGTTTTACTTTAATTGTAAGCCGCCGAGAGTAATCCGTTGGGGGAGATGGGCGGCATACACATTTAATAAATAAATAAATATTAAGGGGACTTGCAGAGAGGGTTTCTGAGCCCTAAGGATAAGGGGAAGCATGAGAGAGAAACTCAAAATAGCCCTTGATTTTGTGTAGAATAAGAGGGGATAGAGACCTTGACAAACTGTCAAGACAGATGCCATCCCTTTGAGGTAGGCCAGATCAAGAAACAGGCACATCAGGGATTCCAGGAGGGGTAGAATAACAGAATCTTGAATTTGTGGAAAAGGGCTTGGCTGGCTGAACAGGAGTGGTCTGCACAGCCACACGTTTTTGTTGTAGGCCCCATTGCCTTTGCTTGCAACCCAGCTGCAAGAAGAAGACAAAGCAGTCGCTAATACTGGAGGTTACAATCGCCAGAGTCCTGTCTACAGAAAATAGAGTTAAGTTACTGCTTGCAAGAACATTTGCAGACCAGTGATTCTTGTGCTTCTGTTACAGAAGGGCTGAATACAGACAGATAATGCTAAAGTGCAGGAAACATATAAACAAAGGGGTAGTAGAGGCAGAGGAGGGTTTTTTCCTGTGGCTGTAGTCAGAGTGTAATGCTAAGTGGGAATGACCCTGGGAGACAGGAGGATGAGCCACAGCCAGGGCAACAGTCAGATAAGAGGCAGCTTAGCCCAGAGAAGGAATGGGAGTGTGGCAAACATCTCAGAAGGGACCCTCCCTAGTTTCTTAGGCTGTAAAGGCGAGGGGAGGAAGATGTACTTTCAGACTTGAAAGGTTCTGTTAATGTAACCTTACAATAAAGTAGAATTAATGTATTGTCGAAGGCTTTTGACAATTGGTGTGAAGTAGAATTAGTCCATCTGGTTGTGCTTCCTGTTTGGACTACCTTGCAAAGCTGACATCAATCTTGCAAGTCTCAAAGTACCTCTCTCCCCCCTCACCTTTACAGCCCAAGAAACTAGGGAGGGTCCCTTCTGAGATGTTTGCCTTGACCCCATTCCTTCCCTGGGCTCAGCTGCCTCTTATCCAACCATTGTGTAGACTGTGGCTCCTGTCTCCCAAGGCCATCCCCACATACCATTACAGAGGTGAATAAATACCGATGTTTTTCAAAGGGCTATCTTTGCTCATTGTTTCTCTTCTTTTGTGAAACTTGATGTTTTTTGCTTGCTATTCATAGGGTTTGCTAGACATGGGACAATTGGTGTGACACAGCCACGGCGCATGGCTGCCATATCTGTGGCTGAAAGAGTGGCAGAAGAACTAGGCTGCCCATTGGGAGGCATTGTGGGATACCAGATTCGCTTTGAGGAATGCATCTCAGAGGTATGAACTGGAATCCAGCTTATTCTTGGGATTTATTGTTATTTATGTGAGATTTGTATGCTGTTTTTTAGTTAGAGACTTCTGGCTTATGTGGAATAACATGATAGTGCCTGTTTTTAGGCTTATAGTCAAAAAAAGTCATGATACAGCACACAAGGAAAAAAGAATGGGGAAGGAGGAGGGAAAAAAAATCCTTGAGCCTCATAAGT